TTTAAGGAGTACTATCTGAATATAGTCGGAACTGCAAATTCAAGCTTTTTGGACCTAGATTAATTTAATCCTTAAATTTGACAGCAATACACCAAACTACATAATGACCTATGATTTAGTAAGACCAATATATTACTAAGATAGCTGTATAGTTTGATGAAAATCCTAGTTGATTTGAAAAAGTTATAAAAAAAATTAGGGTTAGGTATCTGAATATTGTCCGAACTGCAAATTCAATCTTTTTTTACCTAGAAATTTGTAAGCAACACACCAAACTACATAATGACCTGTGATTGAGTAAGATCAATATATTACTAATATAGCTGCATAGTTTGATGAAAATCCAAGTTGATTTGAAAAAGTTATAAAAAAAATAAAAGTTAGTGTACTATCTGAAATGCTGAATTTTGTCCAAAATTGCAAATCCTAGCTTTTTTGACCTTCATTAAATTTGACAGCAATACACCAAACTACATAATGACCTTTGATTCAGTAAGATCAATATGTTACCAAGATAGCTGTATAGTTTGATGAAAATCCAAGTTGATTTGAAAAAGTTATAAAAAGATTTAAGGTGTACTATCTGAATATAGTCGGAACTGCAAATTCAAGCTTTTTGGACCTAGATTAATTTAATCCTTAAATTTGACAGCAATACACCAAACTACATAATGACCTCTGATTTAGTAAGATCAATATATTATTAAGAAAGCTGTATAGTTTGATGAAAATCTTAGTTGATTTGAAAAAGTTATAAAAAAAATTAGGGTTAGGTATCTGAATATAGTCCGAACTGCAAATTCAATCTTTTTTTACCTAGAAATTTGTAAGCAACACACCAAACTACATAATGACCTGTGATTGAGTAAGATCAATATATTACTAATATAGCTGCATAGTTTGATGAAAATCCAAGTTGATTTGAAAAAGTTATAAAAAAAATTAAAGTGAGTGTACTATCTGAAATGCTGAATTTTGTCCAAAATTGCAAATCCTAGCTTTTTTGACCTTCATTAAATTTAACAGCAATACACCAAACTACATAATGACCTTTGATTCAGTAAGATCAATATGTTACCAAGATAGCTGTATAGTTTGATGAAAATCCAAGTTGATTTGAAAAAGTTATAAAAAGATTTAAGGAGTACTATCTGAATATAGTCGGAACTGCAAATTCAAGCTTTTTGGACCTAGATTAATTTAATCCTTAAATTTGACAGCAATACACCAAACTACATAATGACCTATGATTTAGTAAGACCAATATATTACTAAGATAGCTGTATAGTTTGATGAAAATCCTAGTTGATTTGAAAAAGTTATAAAAAAAATTAGGGTTAGGTATCTGAATATTGTCCGAACTGCAAATTCAATCTTTTTTTACCTAGAAATTTGTAAGCAACACACCAAACTACATAATGACCTGTGATTGAGTAAGATCAATATATTACTAATATATCTGCATAGTTTGATGAAAATCCAAGTTGATTTGAAAAAGTTATAAAAAAAATTAAAGTGAGTGTACTATCTGAAATGCTGAATTTTGTCCAAAATTGCAAATCCTAGCTTTTTTGACCTTCATTAAATTTGACAGCAATACACCAAACTACATAATGACCTTTGATTCAGTAAGATCAATATGTTACCAAGATAGCTGTATAGTTTGATGAAAATCCAAGTTGATTTGAAAAAGTTATGAAAAGATTTAAGGTGTACTATCTGAATAAAGTCGGAACTGCAAATTCAAGCTTTTTGGACCTAGATTAATTTAATCCTTAAATTTGACAGCAATACACCAAACTACATAATGACCTATGATTTAGTAAGATCAATATATTACTAAGATAGCTGTATAGTTTGATGAAAATCCTAGTTGATTTGAAAAAGTTATAAAAAAAATTAGGGTTAGGTATCTGAATATTGGCCGAACAGCAAATTCAATCTTTTTTTACCTAGAAATTTGTAAGCAACACACCAAACTACATAATGACCTGTGATTGAGTAAGATCAATATATTACTAATATAGCTGCATAGTTTGATGAAAATCCAAGTTGATTTGAAAAAGTTATAAAAAAAATTAAAGTGAGTGTACTATCTGAAATGCTGAATTTTGTCCAAAATTGCAAATCCTAGCTTTTTTGACCTTCATTAAATTTGACAGCAATACACCAAACTACATAATGACCTTTGATTCAGTAAGATCAATATGTTACCAAGATAGCTGTATAGTTTGATGAAAATCCAAGTTGATTTGAAAAAGTTATAAAAAGATTTAAGGTGTACTATCTGAATATAGTCGGAACTGCAAATTCAAGCTTTTTGGACCTAGATTAATTTAATCCTTAAATTTGACAGCAATACACCAAACTACATAATGACCTATGATTTAGTAAGATCAATATATTACTAAGATAGCTGTATAGTTTGATGAAAATCCTAGTTGATTTGAAAAAGTTATAAAAAAAATTAGGGTTAGGTATCTGAATATAGTCCGAACTGCAAATTCAATCTTTTTTTACCTAGAAATTTGTAAGCAACACACCAAACTACATAATGACCTGTGATTGAGTAAGATCAATATATTACTAATATAGCTGCATAGTTTGATGAAAATCCAAGTTGATTTGAAAAAGTTATAAAAAAAATTAAGGTGAGTGTACTATCTGAAATGCTGAATTTTGTCCAAAATTGCAAATCCTAGCTTTTTTGACCTTCATTAAATTTGACAGCAATACACCAAACTACATAATGACCTTTGATTCAGTAAGATCAATATGTTACCAAGATAGCTGTATAGTTTGATGAAAATCCAAGTTGATTTGAAAAAGTTATAAAAAGATTTAAGGTGTACTATCTGAATATAGTCGGAACTGCAAATTCAAGCTTTTTGGACCTAGATTAATTTAATCCTTAAATTTGACAGCAATACACCAAACTACATAATGACCTATGATTTAGTAAGATCAATATATTACTAAGATAGCTGTATAGTTTGATGAAAATCCTAGTTGATTTGAAAAAGTTATAAAAAAAATTAGGGTTAGGTATCTGAATATAGTCCGAACTGCAAATTCAATCTTTTTTTACCTAGAAATTTGTAAGCAACACACCAAACTACATAATGACCTGTGATTGAGTAAGATCAATATATTACTAATATAGCTGCATAGTTTGATGAAAATCCAAGTTGATTTGAAAAAGTTATAAAAAAAATTAAGGTGAGTGTACTATCTGAAATGCTGAATTTTGTCCAAAATTGCAAATCCTAGCTTTTTTGACCTTCATTAAATTTGACAGCAATACACCAAACTACATAATGACCTTTGATTCAGTAAGATCAATATGTTACCAAGATAGCTGTATAGTTTGATGAAAATCCAAGTTGATTTGAAAAAGTTATAAAAAGATTTAAGGTGTACTATCTGAATATAGTCGGAACTGCAAATTCAAGCTTTTTGGACCTAGATTAATTTAATCCTTAAATTTGACAGCAATACACCAAACTACATAATGACCTATGATTTAGTAAGATCAATATATTACTAAGATAGCTGTATAGTTTGATGAAAATCCTAGTTGATTTGAAAAAGTTATAAAAAAAATTAGGGTTAGGTATCTGAATATAGTCCGAACTGCAAATTCAATCTTTTTTTACCTAGAAATTTGTAAGCAACACACCAAACTACATAATGACCTGTGATTGAGTAAGATCAATATATTACTAATATAGCTGCATAGTTTGATGAAAATCCAAGTTGATTTGAAAAAGTTATAAAAAAAATTAAGGTGAGTGTACTATCTGAAATGCTGAATTTTGTCCAAAATTGCAAATCCTAGCTTTTTTGACCTTCATTAAATTTGACAGCAATACACCAAACTACATAATGACCTTTGATTCAGTAAGATCAATATGTTACCAAGATAGCTGTATAGTTTGATGAAAATCCAAGTTGATTTGAAAAAGTTATAAAAAGATTTAAGGTGTACTATCTGAATATAGTCGGAACTGCAAATTCAAGCTTTTTGGACCTAGATTAATTTAATCCTTAAATTTGACAGCAATACACCAAACTACATAATGACCTATGATTTAGTAAGATCAATATATTACTAAGATAGCTGTATAGTTTGATTAGGGTTAGGGTTAGGGTTAGGGTTAGGGTTAGGTTTAGGGTTTAGGGTTAGGGTTAGGGTTAGGGTTAGGGTTAGGGTTAGGGTTAGGGTTAGGGTTAGGGTTAGGGTTAGGGTTAGGGTTAGGGTTTAGGGTTTAGGGTTAGGGTTAGGGTTAGGGTTAGGGTTAGGGTTAGGGTTAGGGTTAGGGTTAGGGTTAGGGTTAGGGTTAGGGTTAGGGTTAGGGTTAGGGTTAGGGTTAGGGTTAGGGTTAGGGTTAGGGTTAGGGGGTTTTTACTAGACTGCAACTGAGTTGCACTAAGGGAGATAATTTGTTTTTAGTACAGACTTCGCTGATATGAAATGAATCCAGAAAATAAAATTCCAGTGACTTTGTTGTATTTGCGCATGTGCCTGAATTTTGATGGAATAATGGCGACATGATTTGTAAGCTGCATGACGTCATAGGACGTAACGAAAATATTAGAAATTACATACATACATACGTACATACATACATACATACATACATACATACATACATACATACATACATACATACATACGAACATACATGGATACATACATACATACATACATGCGCAGAGCGACCAACGCATATACAGAGGAGATGATAATGCGCATTCATGTTATTTGCATAATATATGGTATAAATATATGTAAACAAAAAGCAGAGCTACATTCTAAAATGGTTTATAAGATGTATGTGCACTATACATTTATGAGGTCTGGAGGACATATGGTGGGTGATGGTACGTTCAAGGCAAGCGGTGCATACAAAGATGCAGTAATTAAGAAGTGGGATGTACAGAGCCACCATTTTGAAAGCGTTAATGATATCTTTTCATACTGTATATTCTTTAGGTCTGGAGGACATTGTGTAGTGATGGAGTTACACAGAGTTACTGCTTATGCGCATTCATATCATTTGGTTAATATGAAGTGTATATATGCTTTAAACGATCTGAGTCAGGTATGAACATTGGATCGAAATTTTTACTTTTTTTATTGATGTGTTCATGTGTTTGTGAAAACCAGAGTGAAACCAGATTTGTTAGCTGCATGACATTGAACGACGTAAAATAGTTTTTGGAACCTACACACATACTAACATATATGCATATAGATATTGATTATAACTTGGCATTTTTCATATCAGACCTCTTATCAGCCTTAGGTCATGATATCAGCCTGAGACCCGGATGGACTGATAGGGGGTCTGATATGAAAAATGACATGTTTTTCTTTTTATCATATACGTCAACAGAAGACATACAGACAAAGACTATTCTTAAAATGCTTTTGTTGTAATAAACGTTTGCATTTTTTAATAATATACTTTCCTGATACCTAATATTTTCTTTTTGTTCAACTTTGTTATGTTTTACACACAAACACGTACCATGGAGGTATATTTACCGGAATTTGCCGAATGACGTCAAATTGTCATGCGATACGTTACAGCAACGCATGCGATTATAAGCGGAAGCAGTTGATTTAAAACGGAAGCAGTTTATATAAACAGTAGGCAGTTGATAACAAAATTCATATCACACGGGTAAGGCAATTCTTCAAATTTGATGAATAAATATATGAACAAATTAGTCTTATCATGGGGAACACTTATACCATTATTTTTTATAAGTATATGATAAACATACATACATGCATATAAAATGCACACATACAAATAAATGCATACACATAAACATAAAAACATACAAACAAACAAACATACAAACATACAAACATATATACATACATGCACACAGTCAGGAATTCGTGAAAACCCTGTGAGACGCAAAATCTAGTATGATCTTATGATGCCATCAAAAGGAAATATTTGATATTGTCATCTCGATCCTACTTATGATCATCGCCTAATGTTTTTATTGTATAGAATGCTAGTAGTTATATTATGCGTAATTATGAGCCAATCATCCCTTTCAAAATAGTGATCTCTAATCCTTCATACCACACACGGGCTTGCGGACTGAATATCGGTGTTTACGTTGCGATGGCTGCAATGTGAAAATTTGTAAAGCAGGAAAGGTCATAGAAGATCATATCACCAATATTTGCAGGGATATTGACTTCCGTTTATTGAGTTTCACTCCTCGAAAAAAGTTGATTTCGTTCGTCCAAAAAATATCTTCCTACACATTTAGACCCAAAAAAAACACGTGTTGTTAACATTGCAACTAGTGCTCATCTTTAAGGTATATTTACTAAAGTAACACGTCTTCGCAAACGTGTATTTGTTTAGCTATGTTTTGCAACAGAAACAAGAAACCAACTCATTTTCATTTTATTCTTCTTTAGATAGACTGGTAGGGTAAGAATAAAAAAAAAAGTTTGGCTTGTCAATGTACAACAAACGATAACTAAGGTAACAGGCATGTAGCAGGGACCCTAAGCGTTGTATGAGCCATAATATACCCCTATAGCATGTCCTGCTAGGTTTTTACGATGAAAAGATTCATGCTGATATGGTCAATATAAGCGGTTGGTGATCCGATAGTGGAGTAGTGGTCGAATTAAGTAGTTTGTTTCCTTATCATCGATATATTAACGTAAACAGACGACACATCCAATTATCAGATTTCCTTATCTATGAAATACCTCATTGGTTTGCCTATGTGGTGATTGGTAAATATTATACCTGTAATGGGTAACTGGCCACAAAGTGATTGTCTTGCCTTTTGGATATGATATTTGTATTTCCTTTCTTAGGAAAAGGCCGGGATGCTTCAGACTATACTATCAGTATTCAGCCGACACCGGTGCAATGATAGTGACACATCTTTTAGAACTATAACACACTCCGTTAAGTCTGTAGTGAAAAATATCCAAGGTCAGTATGGTAAATACTAGCGGTTGGCTGCCCGATTAAGGGGAAGGGGTGAAATATAGATTTGTTTTTTTGTCATACCATTGTACAACTAACAATAACTAATGACAAAGACAGGTAGCCGGGAAACTTGGGCTTGTAATGAACTCTGATATACTTATATTACATGCCTAAGGGGTGAAATGGGTGTATTATTCCCTGTATATGCTTACAGGATGATTTTCTGGACTTTGGGGTTACTTCATCGTGTTTCCCTGCCTTGTGATGGTAGTTGAATCTTTTGTAAAAAAAACTTTATATAGTTAGCCAAGGTCTGAGGGACTGTATTTGCACCTTGTTTTATTTAAAATAGGCTCGGCTTGATCTGTATGGTATAGATCCGGCATCGGTTATGACAATATTTGCGGTTGGATAGCAGACATCCAAACATGGGTCGAATTAATAGCTTTATTGTCTTATGCTCGTACAAGTATTGACAACTAAGGAAGTATGTAGGCAACATGAACCTTATCAGCGTTCGTATGAGCTATTATATACCCATATAAAATGGCCGACGTGGTATATATAGTGAAAAGATTCGGGGTCGGTATTGTCATTGTTTGCGGCTGGGTACTCGATTTAGTTCTTGGTGTAGAAATGAAATGATGTCTTGCTTTACGATTGTAAAACTTATGGTTACTAGGATTCAAGCAGGCAATTTGGACCGTTGGCGTTGTAAAGATATTTGATATACTGATATGCCATGTCCGCGGGGTGCTCGAGGAATGATATAAACCCTTATTGGTTGTTGCTTATATAATAATTTTCTTGGCTTTGGTATTGTTTCATCGTAATTTTCTGTCTTAACACGAGACGAAGGACTTCTGAAACTGATTTTACTAGCTAGAGCGACCTTTGCCATGATATTTACACCTTGTTTGAACCTATAACAAAATAAACTTAGTCTATAGGGTTAAAAGGTCCTGGGTCAATATGTAAAATACTACTGTTTTGCACCTAGATATAAGGGTAGCAGTCGAAAAAATAGTGTTTTGTCTTACGATCGTCCAAATAATGGATGTAGGAAGGTAACCGGGTACCTTAGCTTTATAATAAGCAATAGCATACATTTTTGGCATCCCTGCGTGATGCTCACATAATATCAAACTCTTTTGGGTAATTTGCCATAGGGTGATTTTCTTGCTATTGAAGTTGGTTTATCGTTTTTTTCTGGCTTATCACTGGTCAAGTACTTTGGGAAGCCTTTGAATACTAGTCATGGCCTTTGGAATTTCATTTGCAAGGGGTAATTTTAAGATAAGGTTACTGTTCAGGTTAAGATATTAAGTTATTGTTTAACCTTAACGTTGATTGATGGTTAGTTGGTTTGTTGACAATTCATATTTAAGGTACAGGTAAATTCAAGGTTAAAAAATTAAGTTCCGGTTAAGGTTAAGATAAGATTGAAGGTGATTTTTAACCTTAATGTTCATAGATGGTTAATTGGTAGTTGAAAATTCAGATGAAAGGTTGCGGTAGCCTTGAGGTTAATTCAATGATAGATAAGGTTAAGGTGTAGGTTAAGGTTAAGGTTAATGTAAAAGTTAAGATTATAGTTGAAGTTAAAATTTAGTTTAAGGTTAAATTGAAGGTTTGTCTGAACCCCGCTGAAGGATGATTGGTATTTGAAAATTTAGATTAACGATTGAAATTGAGTTTTAAAATTGAGGAAGCCTTTAAGTTAATTGAAGGTTACAAAATGTCAAAGTTTCAGTTAAGTTTATTGTTTAAGTAAAGGTTAAGGTATGTTTTAACCTCATGATTTATTGAGGATTCATTAATAGTTATAAATTCAGATTAAAGGTGGAAGTACCCTTATGTGAACTATTATTGGTCTGTTGGTGTTTTTCTTATTTTGCCATATCGTTTTCAATTCAATTTCGATCTATTAGTTTGGCTGTCCCTCTGATATCGTTCGTCTCTCTTTTTTAAGGTTAATTGAAGATAAAAAAGAGTTAAGGTTTAGGTTAACAATAATGGTAATGTTAAGCTTAAGGTAAAGGTTAAAGTGAAGGTATGTTTTAACCTTAATGTTCATAGTTGAGGTAGCCTTAATGTTAACCACATACCACATCTTCTTATATCTATTAATGTTAATTCAAGGTTAGAGAAAGTGAAGGTTTATGTTTAGGTTAAGGTTAAGGTTAAAGGTAAGGAAAAGGTTAAGGTTAATGTCAATTTTAGGGTATATCATAGTAGTTTAATTTTAAGGTTGATTGAAGGACAATTTTTGTACGGTAAAGGGTTAGGGTTGTGAATAAGGTCAAAGGTAAACATTATGGTTACAGTTAAGTTTAAGACAAGATTAAGCTTGAAATCAAAATTTCATCTTTGCGCATGTACACCTGGTAAGGGTGCGTGTGCAAACTGTCGAATTATAGGAAGTTATTAGTAGAAAGAACACTTCTATATATTTTGTGTTATGGATTATAAATTAGTTAAACCAGGTAAGTAACATTCGTATGTCTTACTAATGGATATCAAATTAGTAGACGCAGGCATTTGGTATTTTTATTCACAAATTGAGACCAAATTTTGTATGAAAATGTTTTGTTTTTAAACACTTTTCAGTCGACATTCCGGATAAATAGGGCAAGTTCTCTGTGCCAACGAAAGATATTATTATTTAACTAACTCCGAATTAGCCGACTTTTCGCTTGAGCATAGATAGATTGTCTGGTCTCTGTGGGTGTTCTACATTACCCGAATTGAATGCAGTTATCATTATTTTAAAGAATTCTGTACAACGCTTATCAACGCTTAATTCTGTACTATTTTTTTGTGTATTCGTCTATTTATTTTAGGCATGGCGTTGTCAGTTTGTTTTCAGTTGATACCCTTTGGTATCTTTCGTCCTTCTTTTATCAGAAATGTGAAACTCGGAGTGTCAATTTTTGAAATTAAGATACAAGTATTATGTACACGATGTATACACCTTGGCAATGAATGTATCAAACTTAAATAACAGGCGTAATAATATATTAATATATGTTAAGAGTCCAAGCACCGTGACGACTATCTAAAATGTCTTATTTATACAACTTGAATGAGTGCATTAATGATATAATTCTGAAATTTGTAGATTTGCGAAGATCAAATAGAAGAATATTAAAAATTGAAGATTACATAAATAGTAAATCAGATCGACAAGGGTTTTTGGTAAGAAAGATTGACGACATAAAAGGTAAATACTAGTTATTCTGTTTATTTAGAACTTATGCGTAAACTGTTTTGTTTTTTCAGCGTGTTAATATGTTGTTTCATTGTAATACCTGGATAGGTGTTTTAGAAAAGTTTACTTACGAATGATTTTTGTATCTTCAATCTCTCTTCATTTGCGGTACCTTTTACAAGCATGCATTGTATTTCAAGTTTTGTTTTCTCAATTTGGTCTTTAAAAAAAGGTTATTTTTTTATTTTAATATGCATTAAATTCATAAACATGCGGTGAATATTTTTTTCTTCATACTTTGTTAAAAATTTTGAAAACAATAAATTTCAAATTATACATGTTCACTAGTATTAGTATTTAAGTATTTGTGATGAAAATATTTTCTAAAATGGTTTCTTTTTCGAAAAAAATATAGTTTACTAACAACATATTTATTAATATTATATTTTACTTAATCAATCAATCATCGTTATGTAGTTTAAAATGTTTTGAGCTGTTTGATGTGTATATTTGTCGTTTAACTTTATAAAAGGAAGAGGTGTGTTTACGACAAAACAGTTTGAAAAAGGCGAGTTTATGTTCGAATATCGCGGAAATTTAACAACAGTTGATCCAGGCTTCAACGAGTACGCATTCGAGTTTATTTGGAATTCAAGAAAATGTTGGTAAGTTTAAAACTTTTTATGCTAGATGAAAAATGTTTTTTTTTTTCTTGTAGACTTCAAAACCATATAGTAGCGGTTAGAACACGTAAATGACATACAGGTGGTATGGGCGTATTTCGCCATCTTGGATTGTAAAAAATCAGTGAACCAAATGTCTAGTTTCTATTAATTAAGTTAACAAAATTTGATGCAAAAATGCAGATAACTAAATGTGAACTGTTATTTGAAAAAAAAACGTTTATAAGATAATGATTATAAGTATTAACACTTTCGCAAGTGTAGATTAATTTTGGTTTAACAAATGCCATTTGAATGGAAGGTAACTCTGGAAAAAGTGCACTTTTCTGAAGATCTACATGGAATTTTCCTATTTCGTATTTTAGCCGGAAAAAAAACGTACGGTGACTTTATCCCTTCTTTTGATATTCTCAAATCATTGTCTTGATGCTATCTTTTTGTGTTTTATTTTACAATTCTATCAAGTAGTGTAGCTTCTAATCGCATACTGATGTTATTACCCGTATACGCCATACACAATGTGCCACAACCTGTAGCTTGATAAATTGCACGGTGACCTATCGTTTTTAGTATAGTTTGGAACAGATATTAATATACAGTAGGTTTTGGCAAAGTGAGCGAATTTTATCCTTTCATTTTAGACTCCCATACCACCTTAAGGAATTCAATACGTTGTTTTTTTTTATTGATTATTCATTTTTTGAATTTTGGTAATCATGCAATTGCAAAAATCTTCGATATTTCAATTGCAATTATCTGCCCCTTTCTATCACACAATTTCTTTTTCCGTATAGAGTCGACTTTATAAATGATCCTTTTTAGTAAAATAGAAAAAAATATATTGCTTTTATATTAATATCACGCTATTTAGATATATTTCTTTAAGTTGATTTATAACTCATCATTTATCAAAATCAAGGATACCAGAAATAAAACCAGTTCTGGCCTGATTCCTACATTGATGTATATTAATATATCGAAAATGACCTCAAACCTTTCACCGACTGTTAATTATCACTGATCAATAACTTTTTTGTTTACCTTTAACTTACAGCAAACTTCAAACTGAACTTTTACCTATAATCTTAACATTTACTATTGACGTTAACCCTCACATTTACTTCTAACCTTAATCTGTAACCTTAACAGTTAATTTTAACCTTAATCTTTAACCTTTCCAGTTACTTGTAACATTAATCTTTAACCTTATCATTAGACCATAACCTTAAATCCTATAGCTTTTACCATTCACTAGAATCCTTACCTTAAATAATTTGATACCTTCGCATCAGTAAGCTACAGTTTAACAGTAAGTTGTTCTTTCCATCTAGGATCGATGCATCTATTGACGACAAATCCTTGGGAAGGCTCGTAAACGATGACGAGAATGATAGTAACTCTATTGTTATTTAGAATAATTGTCGGTGGTCTTCCCCATCTTTGTTTCTTTGCTACAAGAACAATCAGCGAAGGTGAAGAAGTAACATTCACATATTTTCAAGGAGAATATGACCAGTTTCCTTGGCGGTTAAAGGTAAGTATTATGTACTTCAGGATTTGTTAATGACACAATTTGTGAATGCATACAGATAGCGAGTCTTGTTCAAGTTTAAAGGTTAAAATTTAAGGTTAAGGTGATGGTTTTATTTAAAGGTTAAGATAAAATCCAAAAGTTAAGGTTATAATGAATGTTAGGTAAAGGTTGCTGTTGACATTCAAATTATGTATGCGCATGTGCAGTTAACAGAACGCTTCTGTTAAAGGTTAGTTGATCGTCGGATAAGTGTTTTTCTTGTGATTGAATTATAATACCATTGTGGAGAAATTTTCATGAAAGGTAAGCATTTACTCCTTTATATCAGAATCATTCTAAGAATTGTTTAAAACGACGCCTTTGTCCATTGATTTGATTAAGCACACATAGTAAATCTTATGAAAACTAAAGGTTAATCCTTGAAGTTTAATTTACGAAAACATTATATTATAGTTAATGTTAAACTTTTATCATTTCTGAAACCAATACTTCAGTATACATTTACATATCAATATCATAGCGTGGTCAATTATCACACTTATATTTATAAAAACACTTTTCGTAAATAAAAAAAGAAGATGTGGTATGATTATTAATGAGACAACTCTCCACTGCAGACCAAAATGAAACAGTAATTAACAACTATAGGTCACCGTACGGCTTTCGACAATGAGCAAAACCGATACCGCGTAGTACGCTATACAAGACCCCGAAATGACAATGTAAAACAATTCAAACGTGAAAACTAACGGTCTTATATATGTACAAAAAGTATACGAAAATCAAATATGTAACACAGCAACAAACGACAACCACTGAATTACAGGCTCTTGACTTAGGACAGGCACTTACATACAGAATGGGGTGGGGTTAAACATATTAGCAGGATCCCATTCCTCCCCCGAACCTGGGACAGTGGTTTTAAAGTACAACATATGAAAAACCTATACAAATCAGTTAAAATTGGCATAAATCATCAGATGAACAAAAATACAAGTGGACTACAACACCGCACTAGAAACTTTTTTCTCTCTTTACATGAATGATAAGTTAGGAGTGACACAATTTCCCTAAATTGCTCTCACCCTTACTCCTTATTTTGTCTCATATCGGTCTGTTGTATACAATTTGACAATTAATCTTTAGAAATAACCGAAATTCCCTTCATATGTCGAAATTTAATAACCGTGACAAATAATAACTTATTTTTTTTGTAAAAAATGGTCTGTTGTACATTACTTGCAATCTTGGATGTTACTGTTTGTCGTGAATGTTTGACTGATCCATGAGTAGTCGTTGCTCGGTGACCTATAGAATTCGTCAGATAAGCCAAATAAGCTATGTGAGAGTTACCGTGACAACGGTCAGCGATCGATCAGTAGATTTATCTTATGCACGGATCTGACGGATACGTATATGTTTAAAATTCTTATGTAAACCGAACTCCACAGTGTTTACATTCGATGAACACTGACCTCCACGAAGACACCTTTACTCGTTTAGTTGTAATAAACTAAGTTGCAATAACAAATAAAAAAAAATAAATATGAATTACTTTTCACACATCATGTGTATATCTTCATATTCTTTAATTTAAATTTTGCTAAAAAATTAAATAAGTGCAGACTAACGATATGCTTATTTACCACTCATAAGCGATAAAATGTTATCATTTAAAATATGTACTATATCTAGCAATTCATGTCACTAGATGATAAAAGTAAAAATAGTATAACATTAAAGAAGCTCAGAGCTTTGTTTGTCTTGATTAAAAGTGTTGTTTTAACTATTGTTTTGAATTTCTTTAATTTCTTCATTTGATAAAAAGTAATGTAATCTTATTTATAATTATGTATTGTAATGTTCTCGAGATAAGTGTTTTCTATGAATTAAAAGATAATCAGAAATAAAAAAAAATAAAAATTTTGTTTTTGTAGAATAAGAATGCAGTTATTGCTTTATTTTAATACAAATTATAAACTGTCAAAAGATTTCAATACTTTTTCTACATCAGGATTGGTTGTTCTTCAGAAAAAAATAGACTGAATATAAGGGAAATGATACACAATTTAATGCAAATATTTCATCTCATATTTGAAATGATTCAACATCAATTGCAAATAGTCTTTAAAATGTCTTTTGATAAGTAATTCTGTATAAGATTTGATTTTTTGAAGGATACATATGTCAAACTTTTGTTTTATTGGATCAAGAATGCAATCATTTCTGCCTTTTCCATGGAAATTATTGACTGCCATTGGATTTTTGTACTTTTAACAGTTTTGGACTGGTTGTTTTTTTCATAAAATTAAAAGATTATCAAAGAAAATATACTAAAATGGTGTTTGCATTGTTCAAATTAACCAAATTATTCTTCTTTTGATAAAAAATGATGCCATTTTATTTGGAATTAGTTATTTCAAAAGCATTTATAAAAGTCTTATTTACGAATTTAGATCTCATCAGAATTAAAATACTCAAAGTTTGGTTTTTGTTGAAAAAGAATGCAGTTATTGCTTTATTTTAATACACATTATAAACTGCCATAAGATTTCAGTACTTTTTGAACATCAGGATTGGTTGTTTTTCATTAAATAGGCTGAATTCAAGGGAAAAGACACTAAACTTTTGTACGTGTTGCCTTGAATGCAAATATTTCTTCTCATTTTTCAAATAATGCAACTTTAATTGCAATCAGCCTTTAAATATGCCTTTTGATAAGTTATTTTGAATAAAATGTGAATTTTTGAAGGATAGATATGCTTAAACTTTTGTTTTTGTTGAACAAGAATGCAATCATTTTTTT